CCCCAAAACCCCAAAACCCCAAAACCCCAAAACCCCAAAACCCCAAAACCCCTTTTTATAGTACCTCTATAGAAGCCTGTTTAAATTGTTAATTCCCAAAAATGAAGCTATCAGAGCATAACTTCACCATAAGCATACTATCTTCGGAAAAAGCTGAAATTAAACAACAAAGTTAAATAAAGCTAGATAGCTTTTGGGATGCCTCAATACAAGATTATTGGTTTAAGGAGCTCCCTGCAGAATCACTCAAACTCTGGCTTGTATTCACCAGCTTTCTTTTAGCAAGCATTCGCTCTCTTTTGAGAAGTCTGATTCTCAGGGAGGACTCTTGGTCCCGCATGTCCTGTACGACTACACTAATTGCGGTACCATCTTTAGTTTCTTCATGATATTCCTCAACTACCTTCTTAGAGGCTTCGACTAGAGGTTCAGTCTTTAGCTCTTCATTATTCTCATTTAAGAGTTCAGAATGGATCTTCTCTTTTTCCTGGTTCTTACAAATACGTTTAGGACGGAGCAAAGCTCCGTCTTTTTTATTTTTACAGACTTTGAAGCTGACTCCATGACGATTTCGACGATCATTCTTGTGATACACAAATTCATTAGAATGGCCATCAACCTGAAGCTGAGCGACCCCATTACAGGTAGAGCGGAGGTCTGACCTTTCTTTGGTTAAGGAGTTTAAATCCTTCAGTCAGAAGGTACTTCGACCGAAGGGTTGCTCATCTTCATCATCAGAATTCCCTTCACTCTGGTCGTTCAAGTGCTCGAAGAGCACTGTAGAGGCCCGAGTCTCGGGACTATGAGATCACCTATTCTCTTCTATTATTCTTCCTAGCCTGTCGTCAAATTTATCTGGAGTTTTGGTAGAAGAGGAGAATTGGCTCTGAATAATCTGATTTCTAATTGATTCCTCCCTACGAGATCTATGCTCATTTTTCAGAGCAGCCTGTCTATCTATCATTTCTAAAATATCAGGCCTAGCGAGTAAGTTTTGCATCCGTAGATTAAGGTCAATGTAAAGATCACTCTCCACAGATTGGTAATATTCTATAGCTTGAGAGTAAATTTGTAAAAGAGCTTGCATCTCCTGGAACTGGATTAATGGAGATACGTCGCTCTTCAATGTCATCTCAAGTTGGCATTCCTTCTTTAGTATACGAGTCGCCATATCATTTCCTGTATTGTCACCCATTTATGAAATAAATAATTATAATATCTTCTCGAATGGGGTTTTGGGGTTTTGGGGTTTTGGGGTTTTGGGG